CAATGGAGGATATTTAATCCCACCATTGCAAAGGGACCCATCACAATTAACAGTTCCAGCAGGAACACCACAACAAAACTTAAATTTTTTAGGCCAAACGAACCAGGGTCAATACCCTGCAAGACAATTTATACAATAAATTTAAAAGCGGTTAACTTTGTGACATTGTACGTCCAAATGGCAAACTGCAAATGTACATTCATTGTAGATAGTGGAGCTGACGTATCTCTTTTTAAAGTATCAAAAGTCTCCCCAATGCAAATAGTAGATTTTAACAAAAAACTAAAAATTTCAGGAGTAACTGACGGAATAACTGAAACGATAGCTGAAACTATGACTAATCTTACGTTTGATAATAATTTAACTATAGCGCATTGCTTCCAACTAGTAGATGAACTAATACCTATACATACGGATGGTATACTTGGACGCGATTTCTTTATCAAGTACAGGTGTACTATCGATTATAATAATTGGCTATTAAATTTTAATTTTAACAATCAATTTATCTCCATACCAATTGAGGACAAATTGAATGATAATATCATAATACCACCAAGATGTGAAGTAATCAGAAAATTACCACATTTCTGTGTAAGTGAGGATACAGTTGTGCTCTCACAGGAAATACTACCAGGTGTTTTCTGTGGAAATACAATTGTATCCCATGAATCACCATACATTAAATTTATAAATACCACATCTGTACAAGTAGCAATTTCTAATTTTAGACCTACTTGTGAACCTTTAAACGAATATTTAAAAGTAGATACAAGTGAAGGAACTTTTAATAACAAATCTGAAAGAACAAATAAAATTCTTTCTCTAATAAATTTTAATGAAATACCTTCTTATGTTCATACACCTTTAAAAAATCTGATTGATAAATATTCAGATATATTTAGTTTAGAGAATGAAAAATTAACTCATAACAATTTTTATTCACAAAACATTTTATTGAAAGACCAAGTACCGGTCTATATTCCAAACTATAAAACTATCGATTCACAAGGTAATGAAATTGACAATCAAATCAAAAAACTACTAGACGATGAAATAATTGAACCATCAGTTTCATCGTATAATTCACCTATTCTTCTAGTGCCTAAGAAGAGCAATGATAATTCAAAAAAATGGAGATTGGTAGTCGATTTTCGACAATTAAATAAAAAAGTGTTGGCAGATAAATTTCCATTGCCACGTATTGATGTTATTTTAGACCAATTAGGGAGAGCGAAGTACTTCAGCACTCTAGATTTAATGGCGGGGTTTCACCAAATACCATTGGATCATGAGTCTAGAAAGTACACAGCTTTTTCAGCCCCTAACGGTCATTTTCATTTCAAAAGGTTGCCATTCGGTTTGAATGTTAGTCCCAATAGCTTCCAGCGAATGATGACAATCGCGATGGCTGGATTAACACCTGAATGTGCATTTATCTACATTGATGATATCGTTGTCATCGGATGTTCTGAAAAACATCATTTTAGTAATTTAAATACAGTTTTTGATAGATTGAGACATTATAATCTCAAATTGAATCCAATGAAATGTAAATTTTTCTTGACTGAAGTTACATACCTCGGACACAAAATTACAGATAAAGGAATTCTTCCAGATGATTCCAAATTTAAAGTATTGAAAAATTACCCCAGACCAACTAATATTGATGAAGTACGTAGGTTTGTTGCTTTTTGCAATTATTACCGTAAATTCGTACCACAATTCGCAGACATTGCCAAACCTTTAAATATGTTGCTTAAAAAGGGAGTAACATTCCAGTGGAATGATACTCAAGAATATAGTTTCCAAAAATTGAAAAAACTTTTAATGGAACCACAAATTTTGCGATATCCAGATTTTTCTAAAGAATTTATTTTGACTACGGATGCATCTGATTTAGCATGTGGAGCAGTACTTTCCCAACGCTATCCGGAAGGTGATTTTCCAATAGCCTTCGCTAGCAAAAGTTTCACCCAAGGGGAACGTTCGAAACCAATTATTGAAAAGGAATTAACAGCCATACATTGGGCTGTTGATTACTTTAAATCATATCTGTATGGTCGAAGATTTACTGTTAAAACAGATCATAGACCATTAGTTTATTTGTTTAGTATGAAAAAACCGACATCAAAATTGACAAGGATGAGATTAGACCTTGAAGAATTTGACTTCGATATAGAGTTTTTAGCAGGAAAATCAAATGTGTGTGCTGATGCATTATCACGTATACCTGTAAAATCAGAAGAATTAAAAACATTATCCGTTCTCATGGTTAACACAAGGGCCATGACAAGAAAACTCAAAAACACGAATTCACCAAAACCCGATAGTTCAACGATGCCAGACTATGAGACTGATCACCTCACGGCTTGGCAAACCGAGAATCCTTCGGAAGTTAGAAAATATCTTAAGATTGGATGTGATGTGCACCACAACCAATTGAAGATGACATTATTTAACCATAATTATAGAAAAAATTTAGGAGAAATTAACGTAAACTTAACATGCGCGCGCTATAAAAATACAAATGGAAGTCAAGCACTAGAGTTTGCACTTCTAGAAATCGAAAAACTACTGAGAAAATATAAAAGAACCATGGTCGCCATCTCTATTTTAGATGAGCTTTTTACAACAATTACAATTGAAACATTAAAGGAAATCGCGAATCGAGCCATTTCTAATTACCAGCTGGTACTATATAAACCACCAAAGTTTCTGCAGAACCAAAATGAAATAAATGATATCTTAATCAATCACCATATGACACCTACGGGAGGACATATCGGGCAACATAGATTATATTTAAAATTGAGAGAACAATTTACATGGAAAAATATGAAAAACGATATAAAGAATTTTGTGAGAAATTGTGAAAAATGCAAAATCAACAAAATTTATAGACATACCAAGGAACCTACTGTTATTACCACGACTCCTACAAAACCTTTCGAATTGCTTTCGATTGATACTGCAGGACCATTTGGTATGACAAATAATGGAAATAGATACATTTTAACTATACAATGTAACCTTACAAAATACATAGTTCTTATACCAGTACCAACTAAAGAAGCCTCTACAATGGCAAGAGCATTAGTAGATAATTTTATTTTGATATATGGAAACTTTCTTCAGTTACAATCTGATCAAGGTACCGAATTTAATAACGAAGTTTTTGAGCAGATCTGTAAATTACTGGAAATTAAACAAACATTTGCAACAGCCTATCACCCTCAGACAATAGGTGCATTGGAGAGGAATCACAGATGTCTCAACGAGTATCTGAGATCCTTCACCAATGCTCACCATTTAGACTGGGATGAATGGACAAAATTTTATGCATTCTCATACAATACGACACCAAACACACAACATGGTTATACGCCATATGAACTAGTTTTCGGCAGAAAAGCTATATTACCACATGATTTACCGGATAACAATACACCAATTCAACCTCTATATAATCCAGAACAATACTTTCAAGAACTCAGATTTAGATTACAAAATACAAATTTAGTGGCAAAACAAAATTTACTTGAACAAAAAACAAAAAGACAAGAAGTATGCAATAGAAATACAAATAAAATCGATATAAAAGTAGGAGATGAAGTGTATCTCAGTAACGAAAACCGCAGAAAACTTGATCCATTTTACTTAGGACCATTCATTGTAACCGAAATAGATGACCCAAACTGCAAAATTAAACATAAAGAAACACAAAAAGTAACAAAAGTACACAAAAACAGAACAATCAAAATCTGAAAAAAAAAAAATTCTTAGTCACGAACTAAGAAGTGCGAAATTCGGTTAGGATTAAAAATTAAGAACATTTTTATATGAGGTACTTGGAGAAAAGCCTATGACGAATGATTTCATTTCATTGCATCATTCTCCCAAAGGGGGAAGGTGTAGCATCCCAAATTGTAGCATTTCAAATATTTCCAAATTATCTTAAATTATCATGAACGCCAGTGACATGAAACATGCATGCCACACATTATCCTCAAGCCTTCATTAGCTCATGCTTCAAGGTTCCAAACATTCCCACAGTTCATAAAATCCTTACATTGACACAATTGACAAAACCCAGACATTCCCACAATCCAAACCAAAAGTTCTCATACTTCAAACCATCAGCTCGGTGGAGGTTTACAATTGACTAAAATATATACGTACCCTAATTAACAAAGCACAAGCAATAAAAAATCTCAAATTGGCCACTAAATACTACAGGGGTGCACCAATAAACAAAAAACAAGTTGCAATAGAAATGAAGAAAAAGGCAATAAACAAATAAAAAGCTTCTTTTAATAATTTGAATGTGAGCGGTAAAAATGGCAAAAAGGGCAATAGTAAATACAATACGCTCAATTAAATAAGGATGAATCTCCACTAAATTAGGAAATTTGAGCACTAAATAACTCACTTTCGTCACCTGCAGTTGAAGATATTTTCCCATAAAAGTGGCAAAATGAGCAATGTCATATTGAATAACCGCAATAAATAAATCTAAAATGTCCCACACAAAGCGCACAGTTATCACTGTTTAAATCCAAATTATGCTGTAAAATCATGATTATTTCCCCAAGAAAAAAATGAAAATATCTTTTAAAAACTGAAAAAGTGCCAGGAACCAGGAGATAAATGTATGCTTGAACATGAGGATGAGCCATCGTAAAATATGAATCGTTCTTAAAGAAAAGAAAATAATTCATGCAGGAAAGTAAAAATGAGCAATTAAAAACGAACACTGCGCAATTTAAAATAAAACAAAATTCCAATGATATTCTGGAAATATTCCTTTAAATTGAAAGTTTATGAGCCAATAACCCAGATCAATTTCCATATGGTATTTTCAAGACAGCGATAAGTAGTAGAAATTCCAACTTGTTTTTTGTTTATTGGTTCACCCCTGTAGTATTAAGTGGCCAATTTGAGATTTTTCATTGCTCATTTCGCTTTTTTTATTGATGATTAATTGTGCTGCCGTTTACAATTGATTGCTTAGTTGCACAAGTGTAAAACACCACTTCAAATTAAATTATTGCGAACGCATTTTCCCATGCAGCACTAAACGATGACCCATGTTTTCGTCACCTCAAAACATTCCCAGATAGCGAACCGTAAATTGACTCTTCCTTCTCCGAACCACATTTGTTCCCATACACGACACTTATAGCCAATCGATAATTCTTGCTTATGCACCAATAAGCCTGACAGACGCCAAGCGCATCATGTTACAAGTCACAGCGCCGAACTCTCTTTCCCATTTGTTTTAGCGTCGACTTCTCTCTTGTTGACAAATTTCTAATTGAACTCTTATTGGTTAAAACGGCAACTCCAAGCGCCTCCCCACCTAATTGTTATTTGTGTAGAATTATGAAGATGTGTAGAGTTTAAGTAAGATGTAACCAAACTGATACAAGAATAAACATTCATTATGTGAACCCTCACGGCGACTAGTCGATGTCTAAGAAAGATATCACATGGCCTATTACAAGTGTATGAAGTGCAACCGTTTTCACAACTTGATCGAATCGAATATTGTCAGCAACATCTCGGTGGTTCCAGCACCATTGATACGTATGGATCGTTTATTATCGATAAACTGGAAATAGCATTAGGAATACCGCTGTTCAACAATCTTCAACACTATAGTATCCTGCCATCATATTGCGAAATTTTGGTGAATATTTGTCATGATATACAATTACAACAGTTGTTGCGAACGCGACATTGTAATTATTAGAAATTCCCTAATCGAGAGGACGGCTCCCTCTGCCAGGTCATTCACCTTATGAGAGTGGCAAGGGAAAGCGAAAGTATTTCGGTAGGAAATTATTATTTATAAAAAAGGGCAAAAGAGAAAAGAAAAACAAAGACAAGCCGCTGCTCGGAAGAGGTCCTGCTGGTACTGCACCCAAATAAACGGCGCATGGTGACGAAAGTCAATCCATGTTTACGACCGAGGTAGCACAAGCCAAAGGACGGCATAGATACACACGTGTACTGCTCAGCCTTGCGCCGGCAAGCAAAGCCGCAACCCTAGCAAAGTAAAATATCAAATTGATAACAAGTTCTATTCCCCGGTTACCACTTTTTGATAACTGAATATGTTATCATTATGGTTGAATTAACAGCCAACATAACAAAAATTATAGCAAAAAATTGCTCTTTGGATATCAAAAAAATAACTAATTTAGTTATCATTGAAAATATCTTGATAACAAATTCTGTAAGCCATACAAATTTATACCATAAATTTCAAATCATGTTATCATTTTGATATCAAAGCCTTACGCTAATAACTGAAATATGATTAGGGATTAAAAGCACTATTTTTATTGTTTCAAGGCGAATAATATTTAAAGTTTTGAACTAATCCTGCATCGTTATAGTGAATTTTTCATGATAACAACTGATAACAAAATTGATCAAGGCTGATAACTAAATAAGTTATGCGATAACAACTGAAAACAAAATGATATCTGGGATAACAAGACTTGTTATCTAGATGATATCGGGTTGTTATTCTACTTTGCTCGGGAAGCCCATGCCTAGTAAGGCAACCGTACGTACAGTACGAATGCATGCCGATAAGAATAGACTTTTACTTTCTCTGCCGCTTCTCCGTTTAAAAGGGCATCATAGCATGCAGCGCGCTAGGCGTGCACTTGAACCGTGCGTAGAGCGAAGGGCATCTGCTCGATAGGGAAATGAGGATAGAACGCTAGCCCATAAAAAGGTCTTAAAAGATTCGATACGCGGTGGTACGGCCGAGTATTAGAAGAACAATACTTAAATAAGCAAGGGTGCATTTATAGAACCAGCTAGAAGATGTTAGGGAAGGTTCAGTAAATTACCTGCAAGAGGTAAGGCCCGCGTCTACTTTAAGAAGTAAATTGTTTAAGAATTGTAGCGCGGTATGATCATACGCATCGCCCCACTCTCGAAAATAGAAGAAAGGTAATAAAATTCGGGACGTAAATAAAACCATATCGTCACTTAGGCGATGCATTGAAGGCCATAGGACTTATACGTAGGGACTTGAGCGTAGGTGAATTAGACCCTTGCATAGCAGCAAAGCGCACATGCGCACGATGTACAAACGCCCAAATTCTAGGGCCCCGACCCGCTATATAAGCGGAACTTTTTAAGAAATAAAATCAGTGTGTGTGTTATTTGACTATTCGTTGATGCAGCTCACTCATCCGAAACCCAATCGGTAAGTTATATCAGGTCTTGAGTCTGAATTGGTTAGCAATCCAGCCGAAAGATTGTATCCGGAAGCCCCTTAACTCGCCACCAACTAAATTTGGCAAGTGATACCGGACTCTCTTTAGGTGGAACCCAACCAATTGGAATCAATTACACATTGTGGCAACTGGCCAGCAGTCTGGATTGAAGAGATCTGGTTAACTTGGATCTTCACGTATCCTTGAAGAAGGAAAACTCTGCTCACAAAACCTCCCCATCCTAGCACATGTGAGCCGATTACCTTCGCATCGGCTTGGCAACCGTTTGAATCGTAACCCTAAACGATTCTCGCAACGGGAACCAAAAGACCCTCACGGGTGCAAATCACCAACCTAGTATCCCCAACTCCTGACCAAAACAAAAACCCAAACGATCCTGTGAGCAACAATAAGTATGTTGTGAGATATATTTCAAATAATAATACCGCTGTCTCTTGAAGGTTTTAAGATAATTTTATTAAAACTCAATTCATCATGTTATCTCTAGTTGACAAATTCATATATCGATGGTTTATTATTTCCATAGTACATTTTGTTCCACACTTTTACTTTCCCTGTCTCCTCCGTCCCCCTTATACCCTAAGGAGTAGGATTGTGGACAGGCTGCATGCAAGATGTAAAGCTTACAGTTTCCCACTAAAGCTCTCCACACAAGATTGCATACAATGTTATATTCAGCAGAATAGTTCAGGGGAAACATGTCAGAAGGGTATAACTCGAAACGTAAACAATGACTTTGATCGTCGATTTCTCTTGAATGATCACACACCCACGAAATCTGACTACATCAGCTCGTAGAACAAACAATTCGCTGTCAGACGATTCAGTTAGTTTGAGTGGGTGTGGTGTCATTCGTAAGAAACCGACGATCCGAGTCATTGTTTACGTTTCGAGTTAGACCCTTCTGACATGTTCCCCCTGAGTTGCATGCTACTAACGGCTCTCATCTCGATGTCGGACTGACAAGCGTCACCAATGAGTAAGCTGTGTTCTGTCAGTTGGTTGGCAAATTGTTATTGTTTACACGGCGAATGAGAACAACTCAAATTTGAGTTTAGTTCACTCATAATCGCCAAAAGTGCAGGAACTCAGCGATGAGTTAATTTGCCTCATGTTTTCCCAGGATTTTCCAGGGAAAAATTCCCGAATTTGAGAAAATTAAAGATTGGATTCACTCAGTCTATTGGTACTACTCCGAGACTGAATAAAATTTTCGTCAATTTCCTCATTTTCCGGCAGATTTTTTAGGTTTTCCACAGGAAACCATGGGACAAATTTTACTCATCGCTGAGTTCCTGCACTTTTGGCGATTATGAGTGAACTAAACTCAAATTTGAGTCGCTCTCATTCGCCGTGTAATCATCAGTTAAGTGAAATGTTTTTCTCTTGCGAGATGGACCAGCCATGGTCTTAGCCTATCTGAAAAGACAAATCCAAAGAAAAAAAAAATGTTTTTCTCAACAGAGTAAAAGCAAGATTTCGAACCCGGCTAAGGTTCCGGAATCTTCGCGTAAACAATTTAACCCTTACTAATAGAATACCGAGGCGCTCCCATCATGCATACCACATGTTATTGCTATTTTTCCAGCAGACCACACTTGTGCGAATAAGCTGCATAGCTAAATTACCTTCAGTTCAATGCTTGTTCAAACCTACTCAGTATTTATGACGACAAATAATTAAAGGTGTAATGACAAACTCTTGAGACATGCTGTTACCATGTGTACAGTCATGGCTTTTGGATACTCTTTCTTTCCCTTTTTAGCATGGACACTGATCGCCAGGACACTGATCGCCAGCAGTGTCCTCCGAGTAAATAGCAGTTTAAATACTCGGTGCATCAAGTGTCTCCAACTAAGACTGTATCAAAAATACGAAATAGAATAAATCAATTACATTTCAACCATCAAACGCGACGTGTTGTGGACAGTGAAAGATATCACGGTCATGAATCCAGGAAACAGGACTTAACAGCGGCGTTACCAAAGGAGGCCAATTATTACATCATTTATGCAAATTAAAAAAGTTTGCACATTCGATCAAAAACAAAGGAGGGCAAATGGACCGTCGAATAAATTATGAATTGTAGGGAGCAAGGTTGCAAAGACTCATTTCAGCTAAAATAATGTTTTTCGGAATAATAAAACCAAAAGATGGTATGATGGCATGTTTTACTTGTAACTTACAAGAAGAGGTTACAAAGTATGCATTTGAAACATAAAACCTGTAAATTTTGCTTTCTATGAGTCACAATCAGCGATTTGCTGATCGCTGAGTGAGTGAGTGAGTGAGTGAGTGAGTTTGTGAAAAATCGCTGATTGTGACTCTCATGAAGTGAAATAATCAGGTTTAATATGTCAAACACATTCTTTGCAACCTCTTATTGTATCCTACCAATTCAAAATTTGATCATGGCATCTAATTATTTCATAATTTAGAAAAACATTGTTTTAGCTGAAATGAGTCTTTGCAACCTTGGTAGGGAGAGCCCTAATAGGTTCAATGAGACGAATTCACCGTGGAGATGGAAGATGGACAAGTACGCTCAGTGGAAATCCAAACCGAAAAGCGAATTTACACCATGTCATCCATCAAAGAAGTCGTTCTGGACGTAAGAGGAGAGGGTCGGAACGAAAAGGACGAAGACAACAACAATGATAACGGGGGAATTTGGTACAGGAATAATCAACCCGATTCGTAACTTCCTCAAAATTATCCTTTGCTCGCTTTCTAGTTTCTATATGTATACAATTTTCATACTGCCGTACTCTATCGGAACTATCACCTCTATCTCCTCATCTATCGTATAAAATGTCCACTTCAAGTCTGATATTTGACGTTATGCATCTCCAACTATATAAAACACAAATATACGATTTTTTTTACTACAGCAATGCGAAGTGATTTCAATATTCACCACTATAAAAACGTTTGTCAGTGGACTCCACATTTTGACAGTCCGTTTGGCTCGGTTGGATTCGTTCTCGTCAGTCTGTGTTTACCTACACCTAACCTAGAACCACCCTAGAACCTTAAAAGTTTCTCAGAATAGATAAAACAAAATTGAAAAGGTCTTGTCCAACAGTGTGCCAGGCAATACATCCCAAGCGTGTTTTGTCCTTTGATTTTCCTAACAACTGATATGTAGGTAGTTTATGTTGTATCCTTACACACAAGTTGTTTTGCTTTCTCTTCCTTCGTTGCATTCGTCGCTATCTCAAACTCATCAATTATGGATGTTGTTACTTCAAACAAAACGATCTTATTCCTCGTATCCGAACGAAAAGGAATAAGCATAAACGAAATCAAAAGAAAGGAAACGGGTCATAAAACTTGATATGTTGCACATGTTGCACCCATCGCAGCACAGAAATAGAAAACTTTCCGGTTTGTTCCATTATTGTATTTCATCATATTACTTCAAAGAGCGCTTCCAATTCGGTTAGCGTTTTGGCTCCATATTCGGCATTATTTGGCGCTACAATAACCGAGAAAAAAAAATACTCATACAATTCATAATTTCAGTAAACTTCAATCAGCGAGACAAATCAATAATTATCAACTGCAATTTTGTGCAAAATTTATACCCTCCTTAACCTATGCACCCTTTGCTGGATGCGTAATATAACTTCTACCCGAACGAACGAACGAACACTTTTTCGACCGCTCAAAAATTTCTTTTGAAGAAAAAATCAACTACTTATCCAATAATACTAATACTCATTTAAACACGAATTAAAATAAAAGTGACTCACCCACCCGCACCGCCGTCTGACTTTAGACGGTCTCGGCCGATGCCGCGTGTCCTTGTTTGAGATGTTCCAACAGCTGGCGTGGTCTGGCGAAAGTATCTCCACAATCGTCGCACCGCAACGCTGCCCGCCGATCACGAGAATGACCATACGAATGGAGAAACAGTTTCGCCCTCGAAATAAATCTCCGCTGGCACTCTCCGCACTGGAACGGTCGATTGTTGTCATGGGTTCGAACGTGAACGTTGAAGGCTGGCCGGAAACGAAACCGTTTGGAACATATTTCGCACTGGAATCGTCGCTCGATGGTATTTTCTTCTCTTCTAGCCGGTGCCTGGGTGGGCGGCGGCAGCGGTCGGCGAATGATGGGCTTACATTCGCCGTTTCTTAATCCTCCACTGGTGATACCCAGTCTGGCATCGACTGCACCATCATTCGCTTCTAAAATATCGCTTGAATCCATCTGTGGAGAAATTCGATTTTAGTTGTAATTTGAATTAAATTTTAGGTACGGCGCAAAACACTCACCTCCGTCTCTGCTTGGTAGAAGCTCTCATCCAGCACCAGTGTGCTTTCCTCGATACTGGGCGAGTCGATGTTGATTGTCGGTTCGATGGCATCGAAATCCATGAACCGCTCGTGCTCCATTTTATGCAGCTGTAGCGATTCCATCGTGTAGAACATTCGCTCACAAGTTTCACACTTTCCCACCGGATCCTTCTTTACTTTATATTTCACCACTGTATATGTTTTTTCACACTTCGTTCTATCGAATGTGATGTCGAAGTTATCCTCCCGTTCCTCCACGGTACAATCCAGTTGAATCATTCCGTCGTCGCCATCTTGCTCGTCGGCGTCACCAAAATCGTCCGCAAACCAAGCGTTCTGCTTGACGATCATTTCCGATTCGTCGAACGATTGCTCCTGCTGAAGATCAATGTCGTTCCGGGAGGATGTTCCGGAGGTATCCACTGTTGTCGATGAACCATCACTAGCAACCGTAGCACTGTGGGACTTCTCATGGAGCTCTAAAAAGTCCGCATTGGTAAAACAACTGTCACAATCGAAGCACTTGTAGAGGCAGGGTTTTTTTAATCGCAATTTGACGTTGTACGTTCTGATCAGCTTCGTGCGATCGACATTGTCGTCAGAGGTTTTGTTGAGACTGGTGATTTTAGTTAGCACGTCAGCCAGTTTTGTTTCTCCTTCTGTGGCGCTGCAGCCTGCAGCCGTCGTTTGATTGCATTCTTCTTGGCATTCGTCGTCGTTCCGTTGCTTCTTTTTCTTAGAACGGTTTCGATACTGGCGGACGGGGTTCACCAGCGGTTCCAGATTTTTTAGCGCATCCAGTGTGAAATCATTGCTTGGTTCCATTGCACTTCGTAGTTTTTAGTTTTCACCGTTACTTTGTTAGCGACTTTCAATTGCAAAACGTTTGATTTACTGAGTTATTTTGGAGATATTTTGAATTATAAAGTTTCGACTGCAGCAGATTAATGCCTCGAGTACAGAATTTTCCACGATTTAAAAACAGAGAGCTGTCATCGACGAATAATCACAGGGTGAACCTTTCCTAAAAGAGAAAAGGGCGTAAAATACATGTTTGATGGATGAATTGAAATATTTCAATAAGCTTACACTCTAATTTGAAAATATTCCCGCTTCTAATGAAATCCGTTGCAAAGTGAAAACTGGCAGCACTTTATCAAATGAAGAATGCCTCGAAAAATGCCAAGATAAAACAGTCGGAAGAAAAAAGATTCTATTTTAAGCTGGTATTCTAGTTGGTGAATTTTCGTTTAAATTTGACACTTCAATAATAAACTATAATACAGTGTTTTTACGTTGCTTCATACGCGAATTTTGCGATTTTCAGAGTTGGTTGGATATAATTATAATTAATTATAATAGAAAAGTATAACGATTTTTATACATTACCAGATAGAGGTTCATTTTCTAAGCACAACGATATTTTTATCGATCCCGTAAACAATCCTCTCGATTTTTAAATCAAGATTAAGATTTTTAATCGTTGACGCACAAAAAGAAAAATCGTTTCTAAAATTTAAAAAAAAAACCATTGGTAGAATTGAAAGTTTGCATTGGTTCTTTTTGGTAGAAAGCGGTTAGCTTTCAAAGCGATAGTCAGCAAACTGTCAAATCAAAAGTTGCTTGCTAGCAACTTTTAAAAGTTAAAACTTTCAAAAAGAATTGTACTTCTGTGAAATTAAAAGCGTGACTGTGTTAAAATTAAAGGCGGAATATTGTTCATGTAAAACACATTTTTGACTTTAAAATATGGTATAGTTGAAATGACATATTATGTGTAATTTTGAATTTAAAATACAATATTTTCAAAAGCAAAATAAGCAATTTTCAAAATAATAAAATTTATTTACTCTTCATAAATATTACATAGTGTTTTTATAAGAAATAAATCGAGAAAACATTATAAAAAGATCCAAGAATATGTGTTATCGATGGTGATGCTTTCATTTACGTCTTGGCCTCGGTCTTGGAGCTGTCTTCACTTTGAGAGGAACCACAATGTTCAAGTGCGATAGCGATAGGCTCGGCGATAGGTGGCGATAGGTGTATGGATACACACAAAAAATAATCATTGATAAAATTAAAAAAACCGTTAAAGAATTAAAAGTTTGCATTGGTTCTTTTAAGTAGAAAGTATCTAACTTTCAAAATGAAAGTCAGCCAACTGTCAAAATAAAAGTTTAGCATATTATTAATTTTAAAAGTTTAAACTTTCAAATCGAATTGTAGAACTGTCAAACTAAAAACCGAATACTTTTAGATTGACGTTGGAAAAGTTTTGCTTCAAAAGAAGGCTATTTCACCGTAATTAGTATAAGTTTTCATCTCAAATACGAATTATTTTTAATTTAATTGCTTTTATGAAAGGAAACGTAACCAATATTTATATTTATTTAAATATTTTGTTAATATACACATATTTTATTTTTCATTCACATCAGGATGTTAATATCAGGGATGTTTTCTTTGGCGGATGGCTTTCGTGAAGGTTTTCTCCCAGACGCGGGGCTCCAACATCCAGTGAACTTTTGTCGAACGAAAGTGCATCTTGTTTACACTGCTGGCCGACGATAAGCAGCGAAACCTGGTGCGACTAAATCTTACCAGTATCTTATAGAAACGAACGGAATCTGTAATCCCTCCAGCGATACATTGCAAACTCTATTGATAGCCACCGAAAATCTCTGCAGTGTGCTCTAACGTCCCAATATGCTGGCGATCTGGAAAATAATCATTTAGTTTTTCAAAACCACTCTCGAAATATCTGTTACAATCTTACCTTCTCCGAAAACTTTACTCTTTCTCATTACCTCCGGTACCGGAATCGGTGCCCGGAACTGCACGATGCACGATTAATTTTCTGCGGTTTGATTCTCATACTATATGCCCTATTGGATTTTTGGACCATGACAATGAGCTTTTCAAGAGGTGATTTTGACAGTTGTATAATTTTTGTTTTAAAAGTATGAACTTTTAAAATACCATGTCGATAGTGAAAGAAAAACTTTCAAACCAAAGAAGAACAGTTCATTTTGAAAATATTCGTAGTTAAAACTACCAAATTCGAGTAGCTTTTAATTTGAAATGTTAAAATTTTTAAAGATACAATTTTTGTGTTTTGTGTCATAACAAATAACATCGTGATCGGTTCCTGGTCCATTTTCGTCTGACGTTAGATATTGAATCGGACCGTCCTTGGCGAGGAAAGTTTATAAAAATAAGTAACACACTTTGCATCTACTGTAAACAGTCGTGGATTACTCACTTGCATTCTGAGCCGTTTCATGCTACTTGCAGGGGTTGATGTTTTCCAACGTTCGCTTTTCATCTTCAGTGGGTTGTGTTGAATAATTTCGTTTAACCGAGGATCACGTTGCTTTCCTTGAGGAAACCGATGAGCTGTACTGATGGCATCGCTCTTACCTTGGGTTCTGCAAAAATATCCAGAGCATTATTCAATTGTATTCTCAAAATTGTACTTACAAACAAAAACTCACATCGATTGGAACAGCGCAACAATGTCTTTCCCGGGGAGATCTTATGATTTGATAGTATTTTTTTGAGTTTTACCTGAAATTAAATTATTAAACTCAAATTTTATATGTACCTTACCTGTAGCGAATGTTTTCCGCGGAAGCTGCTATAATTACTTGTAATTGATTAATTGATTAAAGTTCCGTCCCAGTTTATTCTACCTCTTGGTCTGAGTGACGTCGGTTCAAATTTAATCGAAAGTGAAAGAAAACTTTTAAACAAACAAAATTACATTCATTTCGAATATTTTCGAAGTTAAACTACGAAATTCAGGAAACTTTTAATTTGAAATTGCAATATTTTTATAAGAACCATTTTTATTTTTTGTGTGTATTAACTATGTGTCCGATTATTTTTTGAAAGCCATCACTGCCGCCTTAACCTCAATCATAACGATTGCTTCAAATTATTACAATTTTAAAGAATAAAAATATATTTATCTTCTTTCGTTCCTTACTATCTAATTTTTAGAAAACGTTTTTTCAAAACATTAACAATTTACATGAAACTATGGAAAAAAAAGTTCTTGCAAATAAGCGCACTCGCATTCGTATAAAGTGTGAGTATATTAATGATGTATAATGTGCACAATATACATCATTCATATACTCACATTTTATACATTTGAGTGTAATAATAATAATAGTATTTATACTATGTTCATATTCTCTCTCTTTAAACCGAGCCGTCAACTAGGCGAATAGCGATTTAGTGAGACTTTTAAACTAGTTAGTTTAGTTAGTTCTGAGTGCTGATAGATCGAAAATTAAAGAAATTTAACGAAATTTTTGGTCGAGCGATGTAACCGAGGATGTAACCTCCTTTTATATTTCGACCTCCGTTGCCGAATCCAGTCTTCCAAAACTGACAGTTGATGCCACTGATGAAGAAGAAGCAAAAACGCGCACGAGGTAGAAAATAAACACATTAGCATTACTCTGCAGGCGGCCAATGAAGCTACACGCCGAGGCTTTAGTTTGAACAAGTTTTATACAAAATCTCCCAATTCTCTGTTTCACTAAGTTAAAATGGTAAGTTATTAAACTAATCTTAACAATTTCATTGTGATTGCGTGCTTAATTCCTCTAAAATCGAACTTTATTTGAACGTTCCTTAAACGTATGCATAACCTCACAATTACAATAACACGCTTTTGCTTCATTTCCAGACGGAGGAAGTCAACCCGAAGGCTTATCCGCTGGCGGACCAGGCGCTGACATCGAAAATCATGACCCTGATCCAGCAAGCTGTCAACTACAAACAGCTGCGACGTGGTGCCAACGAAGCCACCAAAACGCTGAACCGTGGTCTGTCCGAGTTCATCGTGATGGCGGCGGATGCCGAGCCATTGGAGATCATCCTCCATCTGCCGTTGCTGTGCGAGGACAAGAACGTACCGTACGTGTTCGTTCGCTCGAAGCAAGCCCTGGGTCGTGCCTGCGGTGTGTCACGACCGATTGTGGCCTGTTCCGTCACGATCAACGAGGGTTCGCAGCTCAAGTCGCAGATCGTCACCATCCAGCAGGAGATCGAGCGCTTGCTGGTTTAGATTCATGTTCGACCTCCGTCGTGTGTGTACAAATTTTCCATAGCATTTAGCACCGATTGAGTTTATAAACGAACAGGATTATAAGACGAAGGGATTTTTGTTGTAAAAAATCTGAGCATAAAAGTTTACTTTTCAAATACACAATTATCCAGGCTATTTTTTGGTCGAGAAAAATCCTGCTCGGAGCAGTTACCTAGGCTAAATGATTCAGTACTCCATCAATCGATATCGTATCCCGGGACTCGAGGGGATCTGTATTTTAGAAAACAATCTACTAGATCAACGACGTATTTTGCGACACTTTTAAAATTTGCGGAGGGGAAAAGTATTTAGGGAAGTCAATGGCAATTCCACATTTGATTTCAGAGAACTTTGTAATAGTTCAGGAAACGTAGAACTTAAAAAAACACCATAGATCGTCAGGAAAGTTAGTAGAACTTAAGAACATTTCGTAAAAGTTCTGAAATCGAATTCAGCTAACTTCAGTGGCTAGAAGTGTACTTTGCTCTGAACATCAGTTACAAGTTTAAACTTCGTAGAACATCATCAAACTTTGTAGAAATTTAGCGAACTTTCAATAAATTCAAGTAGCTTCATTGATGTTCAGGGAATTTTATTTAAATTCATTAACCTTCAGAGACTTAGTAGATGTTCAGAGGACATCGTAGAAATTTACGAAGTTTAATAGATGTTCGTAAAAATTCAGGAACCTTTGTTAACATTTGAAAAAAAAAAACGTAAAAGTGGGAACATTGCACTCTATTGCACTATTCTGTATTCCGTTTGAAACGAAAAAAAAAAAAAACATTTCAGGCATAACATTTGATAACGGCACAAAAGCATTTGTAAACAAACTTTCTAAGGCCCTACACGCGAACCAAAGTACGCCCACGCAAACCAACAACATCATCGGATAGATGCAACTATCACCATTCCGAAAGTTTGAAAGTGGTATTTCAGATAAGACAGAGATAAGATGCGGGAGCGTAACCCATGTTATGGTTTCCATCTATTAAATAGTTCAGATAGGCTAGAAATGACAGGTTTATAGTGAGAGAATGTACCATATTGGGAAAGCATAATGTTCATACTTGAAGGGTTCAGAGCGGCTACAATGAGTTCGGTTGTAGTTTGACCTTCCTTCAAAACCAATTTGGCTCTAGAACAATTTTAAACTTGTTCTGCATTATTCACGATTTGCAATTATTGAAAAGAGCTCGATATAAGATAGCTTAATACCATTAAATAGAAATGCCAAAATCTTACCGAGTAGTTTAGCTGTTCTGATTTCGGTACAGTTTGTTGAGGTCGGGTATATTTTCTGAGTATGGACATATATTCCACGTGAAGTTGACTGATAATAAAAAAAAAACCATTAATGGACCTTACTGACTACCATAACCATTAACATTAAAGTTCTCAAACCATAAGTAAAGAGGTTCTAATATAGTCCTCTCTCCGAAAATGTATGGAGAACACAACTTTAAGGGGGTAGTCCACTCTGGCGGCATGAAAAATAGGTCATTTTCACGAATTGTTTTTGAAAGTAAATAACGATCAATTCAAAAAAAGGAATGCATGGTTCTGTCAATTGAAATGTCCTCTTTAATTGAGATTTTTTTTTTTGGCGAGTTTTTATGTCTCCTGTAGCCGCTGCACCAGGTTCCCCAGGAGACCTCCCGTCTGAGTCGTCGCGGGGCGGGACGTCTGGCGGTCACACCACTGGAGCTGGAACAACGATTTTTTGTGGTTATTCTCTGATAGATGACCCAGTCTTCTACGTAGCCGTTTTTGATTTGGTTGAAAAATAAAAATTTGGCGACGTTTTGAAAAAAACAGTCCGTTTTTGTACCCTAAAATTGGAGATAAAAGCTTTCACCAAAAATTATTATTATTATTATCTCTATTTAGGAGATTCCTTTCACCAAAAATCCATTTTTGATTCTTTTGAAAATCGGCTACGTACAAGACTAGAAAAAAGGTACTTAACTCGAAAATTCAATCGCCGTTTAAATCGAATGAGCCGTTTCTAAAATACAGCGCCCGCCAATTTTGAAAACATCGTTTAGAGATAATCGCGGCAGCTGTTGGAACTACTAAGACACGCCGTTTCGCCGGTAACGGGCGGGTACTCCGAGCGCGCTTGGAGCGTCTGGACACGGGTCCACTAATCGGCCTATAACTTTGGAACGATGTTACTTGTGGACTTGCGGTCAAGTTTATGTCAAAGTAGACATTCCAAAGTATTTTTTAAGCAAAAAAAAAAGGATTTTTTTGAAATTTTCAGAGTGGACTACCCCCTTAATGGTAATGGTTCTTAACAATCCATTATTTGTAAGGATACCATAATACCTGGGGGGGGGACGTGCTGTCAAATCAGCCTACTGATCATTCTTGTATGAAACTGGCTCCAAACGTAAACAATCGCTGTAGGTTTCTTATGGCTTGTTTACGTTTGGAACCAGTTATGCGAGGCATGCGAGGTAGGCGACGATTGTTCGTATTTGACAGCCACCTCCCCCCCTTGCATAATACAGAAGGTTAAAACACAGACAAACAGACATAACTCTCGTAAGTTGTTAATCTTACATGCATTTAACAGTCAATTTAAAAGTATCGTATTTGGTAGTAGGGTTAACTACCCCATTTCCGGCCTATTAAGCATAACCCGCACTTTCTTAATCTAGCGCAGTTTTGCACCAAACGGAATGTTATTATAACGGATGGTTTCCAAATTTATATACCTTTCTGTACGTACCGTAAGATTTGATAAAAATAAACCAATCGTTGAGATATTTTCAAAAGTTCAACACTGCTTCTTGACGCCAAACTCGGCCTACGGATTTTAAACTCGGCCTAACGCATTAAAACGCCAATGAATTCACTTCGGCCTATCGGAGATAAAAATTGATTCGGTCGGAGCGCTTCCAAAGATGAATACTAAGATGAAACTGTCGGAAGAAAAACTTTCTATTTTAGTGTCTTCTTTCACGGTCCCTTTCATCCAATGAGAACCCCCCGTATTCAAGGTAATTTTGTGGTTTTGCTGCCCCCTCGGAAGAGATGAAATTTTGCGCTCATTTTTATCAAAACAATCACACCAAAACCAGAGATGTCCCATTTTTTACAACTAATCGATTATTTTTTGTTCGCTGTGCTGCCATTTTTCCACCAATGAGAGTGCAGCACATGTTTGAAACGATCGGTGATGATCCTGTGGAGATGTTAATGCTTATATCGGCATGATCTAACCGATTATAAATAGTTTACTTTTCGGTTCGTTAATCGATTAAACGATTATTCGAATGAAAATCGGACATCACTAGATGAATGTGAAGCGTCATTTCAAATATAATGCCGTTCATAAATAATGATACAATTTGAAAGGGACCGGGGCTAATCACAAATTACGTCTCCATGGTAACTGAAATAAACACGAGTGTTCACCGGTTGGCGCTTCTTTTGTTTTTGGGAATAATGGGTGCAAACCTTCATATCACGCGTTCTCATTGACTTCGTTCGGAAGCTTATTAACTAAAGTATCGTACCAAACGCATAATTGGCTTGTTAACTCTGAAATCATGGATTTATTTGAAGTTTTCTGCTCGATTAGCCCAAAATGGGCGATTAGGCCGAAATAATTCTCTACCCTACCGCCACCTGTGGCGCGCATAGTCAATTGGGTTCTTTAAGGGTATTGAGGTAAATGCATATTCGTAATCTGCATTAAAAATGGAACCCAAACCCAAAATTTCATCAATTTTGGTATAACTGGAACTATTTTAAATATGTACAATTACATTTACAAAAATCACCTTATCAGCACCCCTCGGTGTCACTTAATATGGGAGCGAGCTGTCAGTTGGTCAGTTTAGTGTCAAACAGTGAAGTTATTATTTTGCTTTAAATCTTGATTTAAAAATCGAGATGAAAGTGTGTGGGTTCGAAAAAAAATATCGCTGTGCTCAGAAAACGATGATATATAAAAACCGATATATTTTTCAAAATTAAAGAACCCAATTGCCTTGCGTTTGACGTTTACACACTACCGCCATATGTTCAGTGTACTACCAACAATCAATACGAAACTAACGATTTTAAATTGGCTCACCACTTTAGTAGCCTATTGGTCCCAAGCAAACGATTAACGTACCCTATTCTAGTTGAAATTCTATTACTACACTATGTTTGTTTTGATTCGCTATGAAAGTTTGACAGATAACATCAGGGGTGTGTGGATTCATGCAGAACATGCAGGGGTGAGTGAAATAGCTTGGGACTGCTTGGGACCGTTGTTCTGGTACTGAGTGAGCCAAAAATAATAATGATTTTCTTCGGGACCCAGTGGTCTTAGAGTTACCTCTATGGTACTACCCACCACAGTGTATTCAACAGATGGCGGTAATGTTTTAGTGACGATGTTTAACAGTGATAAATATCCAATGTGTTATGTCTGTTTGTCTGTGGTTAAAACTTTATCACCCAAACGTTCATGTAAAGTTCCATAATCATTTCATTTAAAGTTTAGGAGGGATTATACACAATTGTTAACCATTTTCGGTAAGGTCAGGGAATGGTTCGCGTTTATGCGGGATTACTAAGATAATTACAAAACAGGTGACAGAGTGCCTTACCCCCTGGGTACCAGACATGTTTTGCACTACACTGTCCTTTGTGAACAATTAACGTAAAAAAAATGTGCGTAGTTTCAGCAGTGACATCTGATTGAACATGAATACCGAAGTTTGAAAAAATGATTAATTCCACTCGCTAACTGGGCTAGCTTATCAAACGACAAAAAAAAGACTGGGGGGAACTTCAATGGATTGTTAATAAAATTTCAAGTGTTATTTTCACAACATTCAAACTCGTGAGTTTAGAAAGGTTTATCGTGTGTGTTGGAAAGTTTTGATTTGTGTGTGAGATGAAAATTATTTCAAATTAATTTATTTTAACACTTAATATTCCATTCGAATGCCCCTCACCAATGTTGACATGAAATGTCAAACTAAATGTGACGTCTATTTATGAGTTTTCGGGTATTTGACAGATAATGTATGGGCTAACTGTGAAAAACCTGAAAACTTATCCATTGTGCGCCGCCCTATACACTTTGACTTAAGTAACATTAGGGG